GTCCAAGCCTCAACACGTAAGTGACCATGATTAGCAAACAAAATACCACGGCCTGGACACCCTTTTAAGTAGCGAAGAATCCGAATAGCTGCATCAAGGTGTGGGGCACGAGGAGAGTGCATGAATTGACTCACGACACTCACGGCATAAGCAATGTCAGGTCGAGTCATGAATAAATAGATGAGCTTCACCACAAGTCGTTGATACTGACCAATATCTGACAACAACTCCCCCTCAGAATTAGCCAACCGATGATTCTGCTCAATCGGAGTATCAACAGGACGAGCGCCAAGCTGACCAGAAGCAGAAAGCAAGTCAAGAACATACTTGCGTTGAGAGATGAAAATGCCAGTCTTGGAGCGAGCCACCTCAATGCCCAAGAAGTATCGTAGGGGACCAAGATCCTTAATCTCAAACTGACGGCCAAGATAGCTCTTAACCTCATTAATTTCGGTAGTATCATCACCGATAAGAATAATATCATCGACATACACAATGAGAGCAACTGTCTTACCGCCTGAATGACGTAAAAACAAGGTATAATCAGCTGCACTTTGATGGAAACCAAACTTGAGCATAGCAGTGCCAAAGCGATCAGACCAAGCTCAAGGAGACTGCTTGAGGCCATATAGAGAACGACGAAGACGACATACCATACCAGAATGAGCAGGAGAACGAAAGCCCGGAGGAGGAACCTTGTACACCTCCTCTTGCAAATCACCATTAAGAAAGGCATTCTTGACATCAAATTGAAATAGAGGCCAAGATCGAATTGCAGCAACGGAAAATAATACACGGATGGAATTTATCTTGGCAACAGGGGCAAAAGTCTCTTGATAATCTATGCCATAAGTCTGAGCATAACCCTTGGCAACCAATCAGGCCTTGTAACGAGCAACTGACCCATCTGGATTATGCTTGACTGTAAACACCCAACGACAACCTACAGCCTTTCGTCCAATAGGAAGCGGAACCATGTCCCAAGTCTGATTTTTCTCAAGTGCTTGTAGTTCTTCTGTCATAGCATCACGCCATTGAGGTTGTGCTAGCGCATCTGCAACACTGGAAGGAATAGGAACCGAGGCAACAGAAACAAGAAAACTCCGATAGGAGGGTGAGAGAGCATAATTAGAAACAAAATTAGAAATAGGGTAAGTACAAGAACGTTTATCCTTTCGAAGAGCAATGGGGCGATCATCAAACGAAACAATAGCTTGAGAAGGCGGAGCTGGTGCCGAAGGAACAGGGCAGTCGATCGTGGGAGTAGAAGCTTGTACCTGTTGTCTCCGATTATAAACTTGTGAAAAAGGAACAATTCCCCAGCTGGAGGGGTCTCACGAGGAGGAATTATAGAAGAAGAAACAGGTAATGGTAGAGGAGTTGAAGACGGAAGAAGGTGATCATCCATTATATTCAATGGGAACCATTCACTCTGAGAACCAACTGAACCACTATAGTATGGTGTATACTCAAAGAAAAAAACATCCATGGATATAAACCGCCGACGACTGAGAGGATGGTAACACCTATAACCTTTTTGAGAGTGAGAATAGCCCAAAAACACACACTTCAAAGCCTTGGGGTCAAGCTTTATACGAGTTTGCCCCAACTGCTGAACAAAGCACACACACCCAAAGACTCGTGGAGGAATTAAAAATAGAGATGAATTGGGATTTAAGATTGAGAGTGGGGCTGCAAAGTTAAGAATCCTAGAAGGAGTCCTATTAATGACGTAAACAGCGGTAAGAACTGCATCTCCCCAAAATGACTGGGGAACATTCATGCCAATGCAGATTGCTCTGGCTAAGTCAAGGATGTGGCGATTCTTTCTCTCAGAACGACCATTCTGTTGAGGAGTTTTAACATTAGCCAGCTGATGCGCAATCCCAAATTCTATACATAACCGTTGTACCTCCCCATAAGTGTACTCTATACCCTGGTCAGATCGGAATTTTTTAATGGTACGACCAAATTGAGTCTGAACCATTGTTATAAAATTTTTAAAAATAGTGTATACCTCATTTTTGGTTTTCATAAGATAAACCCAAGTAACACGACTATGATCATCAATGAACAACACGAAATATCGAAATCCAAGACTAGAAGTAACTGGGCAAGGACCCCACACATCTGAATGAACAAGATCAAAAGGTGCTAAAGCAGATTTATTACTACTAGCAGGATAATTGGAACGAACATGTTTAGCCATATGACATGTTTCACAGGATAAATCTGACACTGCCATGTTACAAAATAAGGAAGGAAATAAATGTTTCAAATAACCAAAAGAAATATGTCCTAAACGCATGTGCCAACGCATAAGCTGGGCTTTATCAGATGAAACAATATTACAAAATGAAGCTGAATGTGCTTGCAGTGACAAAGGAGCATCCAACAGGTATAAACCGTCCACTTCACGCCCACTGCCAATCGTCCGTTTCGACACCAGATCCTGAAAAATACAATGAGAGGGAAAGAACGTTACACTACAATTTAATTGTTTGGTAACGCTACTAACAGAAATAAGATTTGTAGTCAACTTTGGAACATGAAGTGTATTTGACAAAGTTAATGAAGGAGTAACTGATATGTGACCCTTCCCAGGAATGGAAGATGGAGAGCCATCCGCAAGGCGGAGCTTGCATTGGCCAGAGCAGATACTATAAGATTGGAAGAGGACATACCAGTCATATTGTCTGAAGCACCAGAATTAATGATCCATGGTGTTGAAGATGTAGATACGCTATGTGCAGACGCAATAGTACCTGAGTGGGCATACGTGGAGGTTGGCTGAGATGATGCTTCCATTTGGTTAAAGAATTGTTTAAACTTGTCCAAATCAGCTTGAGTCAAGGTAACTGTGACAGAAGATGTAGAGGCAGGGTTGTCAGGAGTTGACAACGAGACTGGTTGTGTAACAGAATGTGCAGAGGATCGAGGCTGTTTCTGTTGCGGTGGACGTCCATGTAGAGCATAACAACGAGATTTGATGTGACCAATTTTTCCGCAATGGTCACACCGTCCACGTTGTCGTCCCAGAGGAGGACCGGTGGTAGTGCTCTGAACTGACTGGGATGGTGAAGTTCCTGAAAGGTTGGGAATCCGAGCTGCCATAGCAGAACGATCAACAAAAGCAACACCTAATGGATGAGTCCGGCGGCTCTCATCTGACAACACATAGGAATATGCATCCTTAAGAGTAGGGAATAAAGATAAGCCCAATAAATGAACACGAGCATACTCAAACTCGTCGTTCAACCCGGCAAGAAACTGAAACACTCGATTCTTCTCCACAATTCCTGCATATAAAACTGCATCATCTGGATCCTTCCAAGAGTGGAAGGAATCATAATATGACATCTCCTCCCAAATAACACGAAGCTTGGCGATGTAACCTGAAACTGTCAAGTCACCCTGAGAAATCCTGGTGATATCTCGCCCCAGCTGGAAAATTCGTGCATTATTCTGCCTCTGTGAATAAATGTGTTGAACTGAATCCCAAATCTGCTTAGCAGTCTTCATAAACATATAGCCAACAGCTATGTTTGGTTGCATCGAATTGACTAGCCAAGACATAACCATAGCGTTATCTGCGAACCACTGTGGATATGCCTTCTCTGACTCAGCTGGCTCTTTCTCAGAACCAGTAATATAGCCAATCTTGCCTTTGCCACCAATGAACATCTTGGCAGACTGTGCCCAAATCAAATAGTTGGAACCATCCAACTTCACTGTGGTGATTTGAAGTCCTGGATTTTCTGATGAGTTGATGGGAAAAATGGCACCACCACTCACAGAACGTGAGCCAAGAGAATTAACAGTCGAAGACCCTGAATCTGCCAGAATCTGTCACACGACAATAAAAAGAACTCCAAAAACACCACAAATTCTGTTAATAAATCAAAGGGTCTCCTCAGACCATAAACAATGTCTCCTCAGACCATTCCCAAAAAATCCAAATACATACCTTTTTTAAGGAGCGCTGCCCGCTTACATATAGCCAGACAGCCTCCTTCTTAATATTTGGAACCTCTTTGTAAACTATTTTTTTTTACCCAAGCCCTTCTAGGTGTTGGAAACCAACTATCCCAATTTACCCAACCCTAGGAGTGAAAAAGAAATTGAAAAACTTAAAAATACCTGTTTTCGATCACAAAACAACACCACAGAAAAACATGTGTAGGCAACGTCACACACGATGTCACAAACAGCCTAAGGTAGCTGTCGCACAAGTAGCAAGGCTGCTGAAAGGTGTAGAAAGGTGTTGGCTCTGATACCAAGTAGAAATATAAAAAGAAGAGAAAAGAGAGAATTGCGTAAAAACTTGAATGAGATGGATTACCCATTCACAGCTCTAGTATTTATAGATAAAATGAGCACATGCTCATATTACAAGAAAGGAAACAAAATCAAATCATTGCATATTCTATGCCTAGACATATGCGTAAATAAAGTCAAATACATGATCAGTGGCTATCATATCTCACAGATAATATGGAAAATCGCATCCCGTGATTTGGGCCTATCATATCTCGGCTATTATGGTAAGTTATACCATAAATCGTGGTATCATAAATGCTAACACAACCACTATGGCCTGACGATCCGAGGCAATCCTGAAGACCCGTGGGAAAGCAAGAGCAAGAGAGTGATCAACCACACCAAACATCCTCCCAGAAACGAATCCTCCTGCCATCCGTGAGTAGGAATTTGATATGAGTGCAAAAGGTATCCCACGCTTTCCGAATGTGTTTCCAAACCCCAACACCACTTGGGGAGCGTACCTCAAGGGAGGTCCAACCTCCACTCCACTCCCCAAAGAGAACGTTGCAGCACCCCACAAACCAGGTAGATCCAAGATGCAAAAAGAGGTTAAGATATTGACGGATCAAGCTTCATTAAATTATCATACCATGACCTCACTGTCTCATTTCCTTGGAGGTTCGGAAGTGCACAAGCACAAAAATACTTGTCAATCAAATACATATAGGGAAACTGACCTGGACTTTAGGATCAGAGGGCAATTCCTTGAGCTCCTGTGTTATGGTAGACTGTGCTGCCACCGCTGCCTGAAAAGAAACCACAACAATAAAGTGAGACAATTGATAGTCTACATGACTGCAATATTACATTGCTAACAAGAATAAAATGCTACATGAAGCTTGAGCAATTCCATATTTGGAAGATAATCTACATAGTTTAAAACTTTAAATACATCATATGGTAGTGGAGACATTTAATTTGTAGAATCTCTATGTTCTGCATAAGCAAGAGATATTTTTGTTTTCTATAAAGTAGAACAAGAATATCCAATAATACAGTACACATGATATTGTATTTGTCAGAGAAGTTAGAGATATTTCTTATTTATGTTAAACATAATATTATATTTTCCTTTTCTTTTAGTTAGTCAGTCTTTAGGGCATAATAAGATACACAGTCATCTTCACCCTTTTTCTCTTCTTCTTTCTTCTTTTTTTGTAATGTGCAAATTATCAGTATTAATCAGATTAGTAATATATAACAGACCTATTTAGTCACGATTGCTTGCTTGCTACAAAGATCTTACAAACTCAACTCAACAAAGATTTTCCAAGCTATTTGGGTCAGCTACAGGAATCTTATTCCGTCATTCCCCTCTATTTAAGGTCATAACCTCAACTAAACCACATGCTATCGTATTTTTCCTATCTAAGAACCCACATTGGTTTTGACCTTCCCCTTTCCGTAGCATTACCATCAAAATTCCAAAATTTAATCCAATAATTTTCCATAGACTTTGCCTCATCAAAGTATGCAGCAAAATTAAATATTTATTAAGGGGCTTCTTGAGAAATATATAATTCCTTTCGTTGGTCCCATCCCCAGCGTAGTGGTCAAAATGTGAACCGTCTTCTGTGCTCATTCAGGATCGTTGGACAATTTATTGTACAAGAATAGTACTAGTAATATCCTTAAAGAATGAATATATTTCACGGGTGCTGTTGAACTAAGAATTGCCCATGCCAACAATTTTCTATTGAGAAGAATGTTCACCTTTGGTCGAACAAATTGCAGCTCCTATTGATAATAATTTTTATTTAAAAAAAAAAAAAAAACATATAAAGTGTATTTCATCTTAAGGATAATTAAAATGTTCAGTCACAGTTTGGTGTGTGTGTGGGGGGGGGGGGGGGGTGATTTAGTGCTTGAACATCAATACCATTTGTGAAATACCTAACAAATACCAAAAGTTAGGTCTGTATATCGTCCTCCCTCCCCAAGACCATACTGCAGTAGAACCAGAACAAAGTAATGTCCCAAGTGTGTGTGTGTCTGTGAGAGAGAAGGAGAGAGAGCCGCAGTACTATGTGTTCTGCAGACGTTATGCATGTACTTGAGCAAGACGAATATCTACACTTGAAAAGGCAATGGAATGAAATTAATACATTGTGCTACTTGTGTTGTACATATTTGCAACACCCCCAGAGCTCACTTTTACGAATCCATTGGCTAAAATGCTACCCTTTGTTTATATTCATAAAGAGTTCAAGATGATAAAAATTTCAACTAACTATTCTTGTTACATGAGTAAGAAATATCATGTAGTAACCAAGGTAGTAGTTCCACAATTTGTGTAAATTCAACAGAAAATAATAAATAAATAAAAATAGAAACGATTAGAATGTTACTTGGAAACTCTGCAGCTGTTGGGCTTCATCATCCGCCATTTGACGTTCATATTCTTTCCTTGACTAAATGAACAAGCAAAACTCAGAGAAGAAAAGGTAGAAATGGAAAACAGAAGGCAACAACGACTCAGGAGAGTAAAATACCACATTGCTTCCAGTTCTTGAAACCCTATATACGACTCAACTACATAACATACAAGAATTTAACAACCCATTCATCATCCAGACTCCAAAAATATGCAAATATCATCTTAAGTACAGTCTAGGAAAGTACATCGAATAAAAGCTAATAATGTTATAAACTGAAGAAAAGGAGAAGAAAAAACTAACAAAACTAACAGTTATGGAAAAACGACTAAATTCTTTCAGTTTAACATTCTCTAGGTAGTTCAGATAGCACATACAAGAATATCACATATCAAATTATAATCTAAACATTTTTACAATATGCATCTCCTTTAATGGGTTCCCAACTGGTAGATGCAGCAGAGACTTGTCCAATAACTGAAGCTATTATTCAACTCAAAAAGTGGCTTTTCCTTTTTCTTTTTGGACTTGAAATGGTAATTGTTAACAACCCATCTACTCTAAAAGCTTGAGCTTTTGGAGTAAATGAGTTGTAAACATGGTATCAGAGCCAAAGGTCTCGAGTTCAAACCTCACCGTCACCCTAATTAAAAATTTAAAAAAACACGTGCTGGACCAAAAAAAGGCCACACGTGAGGGGTTGTGTTGAAGGATTTATATATTTTTAAGTACACCCTCTCTAAAAGCTTAAGCTTTTACCCAGGAAAAAAAAAAAAAAAAGCTTAAACTTTTGGAGTAGATGATTGTTAACAGTAATTATACACGTTTATTGTAAATAATAAAATATAAGTGAAGAGAGATATAAAACAAGAAGAACACAAATATATTACGTGGTTCAGCCACTAGGTCCTACATTCACGACACAAAGAGCCCAAAGGGCTACACCCCTGTTATAATATTCCGCTTAATCTTTGCATACTATGATCACCTCTATTTATAGGTGAAAGAATACAAACATGTGATAAATATGATATAGGAAAGATTCCTAAAACCACTCCCACGATTCACTCATATCAATATTCTGTGAAGGAGTGATCAAGGGCTTAAATCACTCCTATAATGATATTCTCCCAACATATCATCTTCCAACAATGCTAAACTGAAAAACCGAAAAAATGACTTTAACAAACTCTAATAATTCCAAAAGTACCTATGTAGAATTACAAATGCTAAATTGAAAAATCGAAAAAAATGAATTCAACAAACTCTAAAGAATTCCAATAGTACCTATGTATAAGAATCTCTCGCATCAAATTATGTTCTAAACTCCAACTATATGCATCTTCTCTAATGGATCTCAACTGGTTTGATGCAGCAGAGACTTGTCCAATAACAATTCAGTACTCACAAAAATGAAAAACAAAATAAAATAAATAAAAAACCTTCCGCACAGGGACAGGCAGGAGGAGACATTTGCAGTTCCCATAGCAAATAATGAAAGCCATCTCTATAATCAGTGAAGATAAAAGTTATATAGACGACCAAAACCTACTTCCCATATTATTAGTATTGAAATAAGTAACCATATAAAGTAAATTTTAAATGGGTACCAACACCACAAGTTATGAGGCACCACTCAGCATAGTGCATTATACAACCAAGAAAATTTGATGAATAATAGAATATTTCCAACTTGTCCAAATCTATAAAAAATAAAAATAAAAATAGAAACAAAATTTCCATATCTCAATTGGCATACCCCGTCAATAAATAGCTACATACAATTATGTCTTAGTTTCTCAGTACTGGCACGCCCTGTCAATAACTAGCTCAAAATATTTGTCTCACCATCTCTAATTTGTCAAGAAACTCAGTCTCATCGTCATCCAAGGCTTTGGGTGGTCCTGCAAACAAAGGAGTGATTAAAACTACATTCTTGGAAGGAAGACATGCATCCACAGATTTTGAGATGGATTGTTCAGAAACACAGCATGCTGATCATATGCCGGAACAAGAAGCAGCAGCATCACAGCAATGCATGAATTAAAGGAGAACAAGTGGATATAAAGGTTACCAAAATGTACAAATTACACAACATGACTAAGCCATGCGACAGTCTTTGTTACAAAAGACCACTATTTAGCAATTAAGTATGTGTCAATAACTAAATATGATAATTATCAGTATCTCAACAAATTCTTCAATGATTGTTTCCCTGTATAACTTGAAGAAAAAGAAATATTAGTCAGAAACAGACTTCAGCGCTTACTATGCTTGAATCGTTCATTAAATTCTGTATCTTTCTTGTCCTTATTCTCCTTTAAGATCTGAATTCAGAAGAAACAAAAAAAAAAAAAAAAAAAAGGAAATAAGAAACAGGAAAAGATAAACCCAAAATGACTGAAATTTGAACAATTTAATTCTGAAGAGAGTTATCTTGAGTTTTCACAAGCTAGACATGAGATTCACTCTGGAATATATATGTCAATGAAAATATACTAATTATGTAGGCAAATGGCTACCATATGTAGTGCAAGTTAGAACTCCAAGAGATAACCATATTTCAAGAAAAAGAATCCTAAGTGACAAGCAATTAATTCACTTAGCCAATGAAAGTAAAATTTGTGATTGTGCCACACTGATATATATATTTTTTGATAAGTAATAGTTGATTAGAAAAGCGTTCAAAAGGGGAACGTGTCCCTAAGTGCCACACTGATATATTAGCAGCTATCGAGCTTTAATGGTTGTGTGACTAAAACATCAAATCATTTGCATTAGAGCATGTTATGTGATGCAAATAATTCATGGTGTCTTAGAAGTGTCTAGTAAGGATTGATGCGGTCAATAGTTTCTTGAAAAGTGTCTAGTCAAAGTTTATAGTAGTGTTAAAATTGGATGCAGAAATAAGAAATGCAAATAGGAAAAGGGAAGAGAGAAAACACAGGCATATACATAGTTCAACACTAAAGCCTACATCTATGGACAAAGAGTCACTAAGGGCTACATTTTTATTATTCAGATCTGTATATTGCTTGAGTACAAGGAGCCTATATATAGGAATGGTAAAGATAAGAATATATGGAAGGTGTATAATAGTCAAAGGAGGCACCATGATTGGTGGAGGATTTTGCTCCACAATTATATTAAATATGTATATATTTCAACACTCCCCCTCAAGTTGGAGCATGAATATCATGAATGCCCAACTTGCTAAAAAAACGCCTTGAAAGATGATGAAAAGGTATCCGGAACGATGTCGGAACAACGCCAGGAAATGGCCGGAACTATGCCGGGATAAAGCCGGAACAACGCCGGGAAAAGGCTGAAACAACACCGGGAAATGGCCGGAACTACGCCAGGAAAAAGCTGGAACAATGCCGAGAAAAGCTGGAACGACGTCGGTAAATGGCCGGAACAACGCCGGGAAGGGAATGTGAAGACATAGATAATATGCTCCAAGATAATAATTTCAATACTCCCCCTCAAATTCTAGATGGGATTACAAGAACAACTTGGCTCTGATACCATGTTGTAAACCATAAAACGGAAGCGAAGAGATAAATAAAACAAGTAGAACATACAGATATTACGTAGTTCAGCCACTAGGGCCTACATCCACGGCACAAAGAGCCCAAAGGGCTACATCACTTTTATAATACTCTCTCAATTCATATACAATACAATGGTGGAGACTCCTTTATATAGGATAAGAAATTATGAGAATAGAAGGAGAGAGAAAATAGGAAACAAAGAGGATTTTTCTCCACTGATTCCTCTATAACATCAAATCTTCAATAATAGGAAACAACATCAATTACTGAAAGATTTTCCTCCACTGATTTCTCCATTAAATCTTCAATACTCCCCATCAAGTTAGAGCATGAATACCCAACTTGCCATTGAGATGACGAGCAACAAGTGTGAATGATAAAGAGAGAAGATGAAGAACAATGCTACCGAACACACCGACAGCCCAAACAAGTGAACAAAAACTACCGGAGACATGGCAAAGGCGAGGATAATGCTACCGAACACACTAACAACCTAAACAAGTCGATAAAAACTGCCGGAGACACGGCAAAGACAAAGGCAATGCTACCAAACACACCGGCAGCCCAAACAAGTCAATAAAAATAGTCGAAGACACGGCAAAGGCAAAGAACATTACTGCCGAACAAACCGGTAGCCTAAACAAGTCACAAAACACAGAGAAACCCTTGGCAACATTTCAGAATCTAAGGAAATACCCCAAAATATGGTCTGAACTTAGGCTCTGATACCATATTAAAATTGGATGCATAAATAAGAAATCCAAATAGGAAAAAGGAAGAGAGAAAACATAGGCATGTACATGCGGCACTGTTGTAAAGCATAAAACGGAAGCGACAAGATAAATAAAACAAGTAGAACACACAGATATTACGTGGTTCAGTCACTAGGGCATACATTTACGGCACAAAGAGCCCAAAGGGCTACATCACTTTTATAATACTCTCTCAATTCATATACAATACAATGGTGGAGGCTCCTTATATTTATGAGAATGGAAAGAATTAGAAAAATTCCTCTAGTAACACAAAATCTTCAATAATAGGAATCAACATCAATTACTTAAAGATTTCTCCACTGATTCCTCCATTAAATCTTCAATACTCTCCCTCAAGTTGAAGCATAAATGGCCAACTTGCCATTGAGATAACAAGTAACAACAAGTGTGAACGATGAAGAGAGAGGAGAGAAGACGAAGAATAATGCTACCGAACACACGAGCCCAAACAAGTCAACAAAAAAACTGCTAGATATACGGCAAAGGCGAGGACAATGCTACCGAACACACCAGCAGCCCAAACAAGTCGATAAAAACTGCCGGAGATACGGCAAAGATGAAGACAATGCTACCGTACACACTGGTAGCCCAAACAAGTCAATAAAAAACTACTGGAGACACGGCAAAGGCGAAGAACATTACTGCCGAACAAACCGGCAGCCCAAACAAGTCACAAATAGCACCGAGAAACCCTTAGCAGCATTTCAGATGGTAAGGGAATACCCCAAAAATGAGTTCCGAACCTAGGAAGAGAAATTAGGCTCTAATACCATGTTGTAAAGCATAAAACGAAAGCGAAGAGATAAATAAAACAAGTAGAACACCCATATATTACGTGGTTCAGCCACTAGGACATACATCCACGGCACAAAGAGCCCAAAGGGCTGCATCATTTTTATAATACTCTCTCAATTCATATACAACACAATGGTGGAGGCTCCTTTATATTTATGAGAATGGAAAAAATTAGAAGATAGGAAACAAGGAGGATTTTTCTCCACTGATTCCTCTAGTAACACCAAATCTTCAATAATAGAGAACAACATCAATTATTGAAAGATTTCTCCACTGATTCCTCCATTAAATCTTCAATAGGCACTAAGGTCTACATCCATGGACAAAGAATCACTAAGGGCTACATTTTTATTATTCAAATCTGTATATTGTTCGAGTACAAGGAGCCTATATATATATAGGCATGGTAAAGATAAGAATATATGGAAGGTGTACAATAGTCAAAGGAGGCACCATGATTGGTGGAGGATTTTGCTCCACAATTATATAGAAATATATATATATTTCAAGAATAATTATGGTATGGAAATCTGAAGATGTCATGGGAACAGTAGAAGCTATCATTAACACTTTGTGGGTAGCTTGAAAGTCAGTCTAGAGAAGTGAAGTGCCATTGATAGTTTTATTATAAAAGGGGCAACCCTCTTTATCTATTGTAACCAAGACTTAATCAATATCATTCTGAGTTATTCTCAGATTACAAAATTCTCCTAAGGCTTTTCCCAGATTTCTCTTTAGAAATCCAGGCTCCAACGGTGATTGGAGTAACCCTGGTCTTTCTTATTGCTGTACGAAGACTTTGTGTTCATCTCTGTTTGCTTCAAGTGGTATTGGACCCTTTCCTCTAAGATCTGTGATTACTGTGGATCCATGGCTAGGCAAGGAAGCAAATAGCCACAAAAGAAGACTTTCAAAATCTGTAACATCAAATTTCTTGATTAAGTAATATATTAGAAAAATATGGAATCATTTCTCCACTAGATTTGGAGAATAGGAGACAAAGGGATCCGCATATGGATGCATATCAATGCAAATATTGAATAGAACAGCCTACTAGGGTAAGGAATCAGCAGCATAAGCAGATCATAATAGCAAAATGGGGTGCTGGTACTTCAGTTAAACAGTCAAAAAAAACTTGTACAGTAATGGTGAACCATGCCAAAAAGCCTGAATTTTAGTACGCACATAAGGAGTTGAGATACAAGTCTGCCAAGAGTTCAATAGTTTTTGATAATTGCATTATGAACGCAAAACAACACAGCACTAAGGAAGACGTTGAATTTATGTTGATTTTGTGGATGCCACATCAGCTTGGGATGATCTTACTGGACGGGTAGATTAAGAAGGTGAGACAATAGAGGAAAACTGAACTTTCACGCATCAAGAATTTGACAAAAAGGGAGGAGGAACATAAAGATGAAATTTCTTTAGTGAATAATGGTGTTGATTTGCATGGTATAGAAGAAATTCAAGTGATGCAATTGAATAGAACAGTGCAACAACTGAAGTTCAATCAGCCTACAACGAAGCTGAGATTGAGGTGGACAGAAGGGCAGGAAAGAGAAAAGAGGACAAATCTAAGGAAGCAATAAGCAACTTGTCTAAAGTTGAAGAAGCTTTCATTGTTCAACCTGCGCCTCATGGATTTGTCAACAATTTCCCTATTAACATATTGCCTATCACAAATCCTAATTCTGCTGATTGCTGATTGCTGATTGGTTATATCCTTCTGATGATTTGCCCAAGACTCTAGTTGCAAATCTGAATCAGAGTATTGCTGTAAAGAGCATGGATTTCCATCCAGTGCAACAAACTCAGTTTCTTGTTGCAACGAATATTGGTGATATTGCATCATGGGAAGTTGGTGTTAGGCAGGAGTTTGCTTCTAGAAATTTCAAGGTCTGTGACCTTGGATCATGTTCAATGACTCTCTGCATCTTTGGCTAATGAGTATACTGCATTAGTGACCAGAGTGATGTGTAAATAGTGACAATAATTATGCCTTACAATCAGGGATTATATTAGCTAGCATCGACTTACCCTAAATAAAGTAGTTGTGATTATGGGATTAGATTAGTTGACTTACCTTTTAGATAGCTGCTGTAATTACTACTCCTTGACTGTAGCCACTTTGTTTGGCAAATCTTGTATTATAAATTGTTATGAGAACCAAAGGGAAGGTATCACTTCCACATCCGAACA